ATGAACATAAACAATATGTGTGATAGTGAAAGCTCATTTCATACTCCACTGACTGTTACGAATGAAACAATGAAGCAGACTGAGGTGGTAAAACAAACCTCCGATTACAGCTGAATCAGGCTGGCTGTCGTCTTCGTGATGCTCGTTATCTTTTCCCACCTCCTCTCCAAGATCTACAGAAAGGTGACACATGCATCACACAGAAATACAACACAGTTGAAACTGTAAAGAGATATATGGGCAAGATGCAGTTGTTTTACATTTTAAGGGTTCAACCCTTTTGTTTTTCACAGTGCTGATTATACTTCCTTTTCACTGCATTCTGTTTTCTTTTATAAATATCTCTAACATTCAAAAGTGAAAAGTTCATTTTGTTTCTAAATCTATTCATTTCATTTACAAGGTAGATTAGTGCTATAGTTGCTTGGCAACTCTATGTAAAATGTTTTTAAAATTCTGCATAGATATCCTCAGAAAAAAATATTTCTTAAATCAATGATGTCTTGTGCATTTTATGTTTTTTTTTAAACCAATAATATTATAACAAATATTATAAACCAGTTTGCAAAAAAAATTGCATAAATGCTCAGTACATTTTTCAAGAAATCATTGAAAAGATAAATAATGGCAGATAAAATAAGTACAAACTATGCTGGTTCATATAAAATCACATTAGTTTTTATATGAAATAAAACTTGGACCATGCTCACTGCAACTATTTCTTAAGCGTTCGTTTTATAAATTGCATCTATTTTTCTCATAACTAACCCAACCATAGGACGTCTTTATTATGACTACAATAATAAAGCCACATAAGCCATTCAAAACACAAAAAAGCACACCAGGTGAGTGCAATACATGTGTAATTTCATTAAAGCAGACCTGTGACCCACTGTTATCACAATTACCGTGGTGAATTATAAGGCAACTGGGATATGTTTCCTACCAAACACATATTGTGATGCCCCTTCTTTTCAAATTGATATTTAAATTATGAATATGACATGTCTGACAACATTCAATCCTAAAAATATTCCTTAAATTGTACAGCGGTGAAATGCTATGCATATAATGCACTCAAAGGCAAAAGCTTTCTATTCTCAAACAGCTTAATTATTTTGGTATTTATTTCCAAGAACTTACCAAGACGAGATACAGAGGTTGAAAGGTCAGCTAATGCTCCGCAATTTGATTCCAGTAAATGTCCTCGTATGCTGACTAGAGAGCTCCCTCGGTTCAATAACGCCGCTTTCAGTGGAGCAACGTGGTTGTACTGGACAGATGAGAAGCAGCCAATGAAGCCTTTGGACCCAGCATGAGCTACCTCATCGTCCAAGACATCACTTCCTGTTTGGAAAAAGAAAAGCATGAATGTCAGAGATTGTTTCTG